GTACAAGGATCCTAGGTGATGTTTGAGAAATAGAACAGGTTGTTTTCTTGAGCCACATCTAATACACTGACCTTACAAAGTCTCCATTGTTCGTCATTTTTTTCCACCCAGTGTGCAGCACAAATAGGCTTATGGAACCTTTATGGGATATTAAACCTACGCAGCTCTCCTTGTTTATAATACATATGTAAAATCACTGTCACTTATACTTTGACAGCTCTTTACTTGTTGTTTGTATTCATTTTCATACATATTTTACTGAGCAGATTATATTTAGGAATATATATGTGTTATTTAGTACAAAAGGTGGCCATTAACTTGAAGAAAAGGTCTTTTTAACATATTTATTTATTTTACAATCTACTTCAGTTTCCCTTTCTCCTCTCCTCCTCATCTGTTTCCACTCATCCTCCCCAACTTCCCCTCTGTCTGCTCCCATCAATACCAGATCAATTTCTGTTTGGGAAAGGGCAGTTTCTAGATATACACAGGATATCAAGAAAAACAAGGCATATCTAGTTGAATTAATACTAATAACCTCCCCTTGTATTAAGGCTGGACAAGGTGAAAGAGTATGAAGAATATGGTCGGAAAAACCTGTAATAGAGTCAGAGACAGCCCCGGTTATCACTGTTGGGAGTTGCACAAGAACAGGAAGCTACAAAACTGTAACATGTGTAGAGGTCTAGGTCACTTCCATGTAGGCTCCCTGATGTCAGTTCAGTCTCTGTGACCACTAGGAGACAGGTTTGATTCTGCTGGTTTTCTTGTGATGATCTTGTTATCTCTGGATCCTACAATCCTTCCTCCCTCTTTTTAGCGGGATTCCCCAAAATCAGCCAAATGTTTCACCGTGGATCTCTACACCTGTTTCCATTGATTGCTTGATGAAGCCTCTCTGCTGACAGTTGCCTAGATACCAAGCGATGAGTATAGCAGATATCTTTAGGCACCATTACATTGACGTTTTTTCTGTTATCCAATCACGTTTGGTTCTGCCGTAGGTTTCCAGGTCATCCATTATCTATCCTCATCTCGGTTATGGTGCATTATGCAGGGTCAGTACTGGGCTAACTTTCATTGTCTTATTTTTTTGTTTGTTGAGTTTTGTGTTGTTCTGAGAGAGAGAGAGAGAGAGAGAGAGAGAGAGAGAGAGAGAGAGAGAGAGAGAGTGCAAAAAGAGGACAGCATAAACTTAGGTGGGTAGGGAGGTAGGAGGAATCTGGGAAGAGCTGGACACTGAAGAAACTATTAAAATTCGTTGTCTAAAAATTAAATTTTCAAAAAATCCGTTTCAAATATTCTTATAACTGTCAGGACAACTGCATATATATGTGGGCAATATTCTAGTCATCTGGATGACATTTCTTTTATAGTCTTGTTTTACATAGAATATAAATTAATGTCATTTAAAAAGGCATTTTTATCAATAAAAGTTCTTATAAAACCATGAAATAAAACAGGAGAAATCTTTCAAATTTGTCACAATGCTATCATTCATTTCTTCATACAGCATAATTTATATAATTCAGAAATTATTAAGTGAATAATTTCCTCATTCATGTAAACATATTTTTCTAAATGTTAGTCTATTTTATTTAATATTTATCTCTAATAAATACAAAACTAGATATCATTTAGATTGTCAACCTAAAGAATAACTACAAAGAAGAATAGTTGAAACATTATGACCTACATAATTTCGAGAAGACAGAATTTATTTGGGTGTAGATTCTCAGAGTATTAGAGATAATGATGGCAGAGATAAATCATGCTGACAGTAACTGAAGCAGGAACCTTTAAAATCTTTAAACTCTAAGAGTCTACACCTAGTGAAATACTTGCCCTAGTAAGAGCACACCTTCAAACCTACTCAAACATTGCCAACTGGTGACCAACTGTTCAAGTATTCAAGATTTACAGCACAATGATATTCTCAACTAATAATTCAAGCAAGTGGGTTCTTATGTAAGATTGGTATTTAGAAGTGTGGGTATGGGGAGAATGAACATGAAATTACTAAAAGTATTTAAAAAATGAAAGTTTATATATACAGGAAAGAATAGAAACTTCCAAGCACTGAGCTTGGGTGTGTTATAATTCAGAAACAATATACAGTTGATGGGCCATCAAAATACACTGATATTAAAGCTGCTTATAAAGTGTATATGAAGAAAAGCAGAAAATGGTCTTGAAAGTTAATTTAATAGATGTCATAAACATGACATCTGTGAAAAAATGTTTACCCTCCTTGCCATATTAGAGGGAGTATCAGTGCAGTTTCCCTTCTTCTTAAAATGACTATATAGCAGGGAACAACAGTATTAAGGAATTTCACAGATTTACAGTTATGTGAGAAGAAAATTACTATTGATAGTGGTTATCAAGAAGAGATTTCTCAACATTCCGATGGTCTTCCCTGTGGGATCATGAGTACAGAGAAAATTAATCAAAGGTCAATGAATGATTTGCTGCGTGGATGAGGCTTAGGTCAGCCATGGAGTATAATATAAAGAATGGACAACCTGGAAAGGATGTCTGTCCAGACTAGATGTCATCTATAATTCTTCATGGCTGTGTCTGTATTTTTTCTCATGTACCATTTTAAATGTGTATTTTTGAAATAAACAGTTATTAATATTTTAGATTTTCATTTATACATATGGTATCAGGGATTCTGCTTGAACTCACAATTGGATCTCTCTGTGAGGACCTCATGGCTAAGACTCAGTGCTCAATTCTGATCCAATGGGTAAGAACACAATTGATGCCTTCTATTTTTTCTCTTAAAAATGACTTGCTTTATTTGTTTTGAAAGTGCCTTGCACATTTTATTCTAGACAGTTTTTGTAAAGCTTTTTCTACTCATTTTCTGTGTTTATGAGATACAAGCTGTGCCTTGGAAAAAGAATCAGAAACAAACTTTTTTACATGCTAGCACTCCCACCCCCAATGTGTACGTGTACACACACACACGCGCCCGCACGCGCACACACACACACACACACACACACCTTGTCTTCTTTCCCCTATTCTCTTGTAACTTTATATGAAGGTATCTGTTCTGCTTCTGCCCTTTCCACAATCTGTGACTCCGTAAAACTTTCATTTCTTTGGTTATAAATTGCTGTGATCTCGCCTAGGTTAACCTCATCACGGCAGGTGGGTTCTCTGTAAAAGAAGAATGTAGCTTTCATTTGACATAGTTATATGTGTACTCTCTCACTTGAAATTTTAAATACATGATTTAAGATAGAGTTGGTTGTTATCTTTAAAAGATATTAAGCTGAAAATAATTGATTCTATATAAATAACATTATATAGAATTACGATTGAGATGAAGGAAAGACAAATATGGGAGCAGGGAAGAAGATATCTTAATTATGGGAGCCATTTTGGGGTTGGACTGGGACTGAATGAGCATGGAATCAAACTGGACCTTTGGAATATAGCTGAAAATTGGGGCAGACTGAGAAGCCAATGATAATGGCACTGGGGTTTGTTTCTACTGCATGTACTGACTTTTGAGGATCCTAGTCTATTTGGATGCATACCTCCTAAGCCTGGATGGAGTGGGGAGGGCCTTGGAATTCCCATGTGCAGGGTACCTTGCCCTCTCTTAGGTCTGGAGAGGGGGGGTGAGTAGGGAAGCGGGAGAGAAGTGGGAGGAGGGGAGGGAGTGAGTGGAAATTTTTAATGGTATTATTTATAAAGTAATAAAAAATTATTAGAAAAAATAACTTCAAAGAAATTAGTGTTTATTAGGACAGATGCCTGGATGACAGAGGGAACTGGTAGAGATACCTCAATTCTGAACCTACAAAAAAAGAAGAGACTCGTTTGGGGAGAAAGATAATTTTGTTCTATTAAAATCTCTGAAGAAGGACAATAAATCATAAAAAAACTTGTAGAAAATTTATGCTTCAGCATTTTCTATTTTTAAAGCGGTGTTATGATCAGAGGAACCCACTGTGACGGTAAGCTCATGTTCTAATTTGTTGGTAGGCTTTTTTTGGCTTGTTTTATTTTTGAAAGAGGGTTTTATGTATCCTAGGCTAAATATATTACTAAGTTTGACCTCGAAATCTAAATCTCTTTCTCAGCAGCCTTGGGTATATGTACTGCAGTTGTATTTCCCTAAGTTTAGATTAGGCTGCACAAGGGATATCAAAACTGGGGCTACCCTTGTGTTCGGCAAACATTCCACCAACTGACTACATTACCAAGACACCAGGTTCTTGAGACACTTTAATGATAAACTGTAGATGGGCTTAAAAAGAAACAATGTCACTATTTATTACATTTTCCCAAGATCCTCCCATGAGTTTGTCAACACGAAGATCATGGCAGAAGAAATAAAAGAAAAAGAAAAGAAAATAACTGTTCTTCATGGAGAGCTGTCAGTTTTTGCTGCTTGAAAAACTGTTTCAAAGAAAAAGTCATAGTTTAATCAGATGGATTAAGGACAAAACACTGAGAATTGAAACTGGCAATAAAACAATTTGTGTGACAATGACAAGCTCAGACCTAGCAAATTGAAAAAAGCTTTGAGGAAAAGCGATAAGGAGGGAATCTATTTAACAGAGCATCGCAGTCTGGGAAGCGAGTATAACAGTGCTGTCTGCAAGAGAAATGGGCTCTAATTTTTTGTCTATTTGATGAAAGGTACTGTAGTATAGTATTATTTCAAAAGTTTCGTTTTCAAGGCTACTATGATACTTTTTATAAATTATTTACTCTTTACTTTTTATCATTTATATCCCTAAATTGATCTTGATAGACTAGTTTGGTCTCATGTAAATTTTGTCTGTTTAGGATATTTATTTACTGTATGTGTGATTTTTTTTGTTTTTAATATATTTACAAGAATCATAATATCTTTACACTTATTTGTTAATTATATATTATTTTAAATACATAACATCCTGTTTGATTTACTTGATGACTCTTTCCATTCTAATTGTCCTAATTTGCTTTATGTTTCAGCAATAAATGTCATGACCTTATGAAACTTGAAGAGGAAAGGACTTATTTGGAGTACAAATTAAAATTCATCATCTAAGGAAGCTAGGGCACAACTCACTATAGGAGCCTGATGCAGACCTGTGAAGGGGAGCTGCATACTGGCTTGCTTGTTCTGACTTGCAAACGTCTGGAGGTCAACTGACAAGTTTTCAGAAGACATTCTTTCCTTCCTCCAAGTGGATCCCAGGTAAGAGACTGAACTTTAATGGTTTTTTACCATTTACTAAATGTAATTTTTTAATTTTTACATTTATTTTTAAATATTTAAATTATTGTTTGTAACTACAGCATAATTTCATCAATTACCCCTTTGCTTTAGTCTTCCAAACAATCTCATATACCCCTCCTTGCTCTCTTTCTAATTTGTGGCCTCATTTTCCACCAATTATTATTGCATGAGTGATTTGATTAAATATAGTTTTCACATTTTAGCTTATTGTTTATTCTGTTTTCTTTCTACTTTATCATTTTTCTATGGAGTAAGGTGATGTCAAAATACAAACAATTTAGTTTTTTCAGCTTTTATTTTAACTACAGTGATTAAGTTCAATAGAATATTTTTAAATTTGTCATAGGCATTTGCACATGTATTTCTTTGTTATCAGGCTTTTAAATTCATTTTCCTCATATTATTCTTGAGGTTTGTTTTTTCTCAGTCTTCTTTCCAGCAGTGCGCCATTTTATTTCTCTTGTAGATTTAGTTCTGGACATAATAGTAGAAAAGATGATCTCTTGATTTTTCTTTCCATTTTTGTATTGTTCTCTGCATCTTATGAAAAGTAATGCATCATTTTACTTAGTAAAATAGTCTCATCGAGGCTGTTATATGTAAACGGAGACTGCTTATTCATTTCCCAGCCATCTAGACCTGAATAATTACACAGACACTCTATTAATTATGACACCATTTGTCCAGTTAGCTCAAGTTTCTTACTAACTCTACATCTTAAATTAACCCATTTCTATTAATCTGTGTATCACCATGAGGCTTTTGCTTACCGGTAAATGTTTTGGGCATCTATTTTCTTCATTAACTACACAGCATCTCCCTGACTCTGCCTATTCTGTCTATATATTCTCTTCAAGCCTGGCTTTATTCTTCCTTATCATAGGTCAAACAGCTTTATTCATTAACCAAAAAAAAAAAACCCACATATACAGAACATATACAGAAGGACATCCCGCATCATTATAAACTTGTATGAAGAAGTCCCTAATCTGAGTATGATTAAGAAGGCTTGATTATTTTTCTATCAGGTGTCATATTCCTCTACTCTTTCTCTCTAGACTGTATGCTGTGGGATCTACAACCACTCAAATGATTTTCCTGCGTGACCATTATTATCCAGTATTTGCATAAATCATATTCTCTTACTCCTACTAACACTTGATGTGCCTAACATTTAGCTTGCCTATTCTAATCATTGATACAAACCCTAAGGATTTTAAAACTGACATTGGCTACAATAGGAATAATATTGCTGACCTTTCTTTTTAAATCTGTATTAGAAATGTGGTCCCTGATTAAGCCTTTTATTTGCTTTAAGTCTACAGAGATTGAAATTTATATCTTTTCAAAGGTAACTTTATAATTTAGAGCATCAGTAATTAAGCTACCTTCAAGCTCCAACAAATTATTAAAAAAATCCATCTTCAATATAAAGTATTATGAATGAAGTCTATGCTGTTTGGTAAAGTCATACCTATATAGAGAAGGACTGACTTCTCAGACAGTAACAGGTATCCTATTTAGCTATGGCAGACATCGACCTTTGGGATGTAATACTGGCTGAAAGAAATAATGGGAAGTACAACTTGGAAAAAACCTAGATTATGAAAAACAGGGAGAACCAATGACATACAATAACCTCACATTCACGGCATCATTTTGAATCAAGACCAAGTAACACCAGCAACGACTTTATTATGTTTGGAGATTTATTTTAGCTTTCTATTCTCTACATATTAAATTCTGGGGCACTTTCACCTTTTATCATAATTAGAGCAAAAGAATAAGATTAATAATATGTCTCATGATTATCATAATAAAAGTTAAATGAATAAAACTGGAAACTATACAGAACTGTTTATTAAAATTCAGCCTTCCTATTTAAAAAAACATTCTGGTATTATTTTATATATTTTGCCTTTACCTAGCCAAGCCTAATCTAATCTTCCTTTTTTCTTTCAATACTTCCAAGAATGGAACTCACAAGAATATATCACATTCAGATGGTGGAGTTATAATAATAAATATTTATAATAATAAATACATGGTGTTACAATAAGTACAGGAAGAAAATTAAATGCTGTATTACAGAAACAAAAGAGATGATACATTACTAAAATGACAATATGTTTGTCTCCTTTACATACAAATTTGTAGATATGTCTCATTCTTCTAAAGAAAATCTCTACTCAAAAATTCAAAAGCATGTTTTCATTTGGCAATGCTTTTGGAGACATTTCATTAAGAATAAATCCATTATTTTATCTTTCAATCTGTAGTTTACTATTTTATTCTCCCATGTCAATATTAATTTGAAATATTTGAAAAAAAGGTCTAGGTCAGCATATTAACTTTGCTAATAGCCTTATAGTTTGTTTTTGGATAAATATTAACTATTCATAGGTTTTCACATGTAATTTTTAGAAAATGTTGATTCCTTCAGGTGTTGTGTAACAGGACATGGTTATTCAGGATTGTGCTGTATTGATCTAGCAAGGCATTCATCTTGGTGAAGTTTGATTTTTGACAATTTCTTTTCTTTAATTTGTTCAATATTACATTAATCACTACAATTATATCTTATATTGAAATGTAAGATTAAGAACTCTGAATATCCATATCACGGCATATAAAATTGATTTAATATAATTTTAATAAAAAGAAGTGTGATTTTTTGTTTCACTTCTTAAAAATAGATGCTCTTTACAGTGGCTAAATAATACATTATTTACATTGCTGTAGTATTCTTAGAGACATTTAAATTTATTATTCTTATCTAGAGTAAAATTGAGAGAACTATATGGTAGTATCATTAATTAATAACTGGATTACTTATTTTTATAAAGAATAGGTAATGAGCTTATTTTAAAATAATGATTCTATCCTAATACCCCATAAAATACAAATGATTCATTCAAAGCAATGTGCATATAATTTAGGTGAATTATGATAATGTTTGTAAAGTATACTGTACTGATTATAATAAGAAAGACACCCATAGGTTCATATGTTTGAATATTTAACAACCATGGAGTAGGAGAGGAAGGCTTAGAAGATGTGGCCTTGGTGAATCAAATGTACACTGGAGTTGGGCTTTGAGTTTTTATAAAACCCACACCCTGGTCCAGCATTTCCCTCTTTTTCTCTCTAGGCCAAATGTTCACGGAGCAGTTTAATTTTTTTAAACAATCTTTTTAGATTTTACACACAACTCCTAGTCCCCTCTCCTTCCTTTCCTTCCACTCCCCCCCCACCTTCTTCATTATAGTTGTTTTGTTTTATTTTTTGAGACAGGGTTCCTCTGTGTAACAGTCTTGGCTCTCTGCTTTGTCCATGCATCACAATTCCTGGCCTTTATTGTGTTTTGAATCCACCCCAAACTGTAAAGATTCAGATTCTCAGTGTTTTTCTACTTGACTCTTCCTTTTTGAAACCCACAACGAAGCCACACCTATTTGGAACTTGATTAGGTCTCGAGCATAAGTGGTTCAAAGCAAGATTGTGGCATTTACACTTTTGAGTTCTTAGGTCCAATATTGTGAGCTCCTCCATTGCTACTGCTATTGCTTCCACCCTGGTTGTTTATCTTACAGTGGGAGACACACAATAGAAAATTGTAGGGTGCTGGCTGGAGGAGGAAGTCATGGTGTGACTCTTAGTTACGTCTCGAGCACCAAGCCTGTATGCACTAAGTTTCCTTCACCATGCTCCCTACCATAATGCTCATGATGTTTCAGCACAGCAACAGAGCAATAATTAGGATATATACTATTTCTATGATAATGCATATTATAAAAAATGCTGTTTAAGAATAATCAGAAAACCAGATAGCTAAAAGTATGAGAACATAGATATTAACAAAATGAAAATCATATCCCGGTATTTGTTCTTTGAGGGAAACAAAATATTTTAATTCTTTAAAAAGAGAAGTATGGATTATAGTTTGTCTAAGATAAAAACAAGTAAGTGGAAACAAAAGGTAACAAAGCTAGAGTATTGGGTCATATACCAAGTAGTTCAAGATTTGTCCAAATCATAACCTTCTCTTTTGTCTTTTAAGTTTGCTTTATTCTGGCCAGAAGGAATTTACAAGGATGCTTTTGATGGGTTTGTTATTTTATGACAAATTTATAAATTAACGGAGTAACTTATGAACAATTTCCACAATGTTAATACTTTTTCAGTTTTGAAAGGTATTTAATTCATTCTTTTGGACCTCCTCATTGTCTTATTGATTAAGTGTGCTTTCTTCCTGACAATTGTATTTTCTATAATTTGTGAAAGGATATAATTTTTCTTCCTTCCTCAGAAGTGAACGTTATTACTCTATTTTCATTTTATTTTGATCTAAGTTTTTGTCAGATATTATTGGTTTTGAAATTACTAATACACAAGATATTTCCATTATATGATTACTTTCTTAGACTATTTATTGTATTTTTCAGTTAATTGAAGTGTCTTTAAGAATTTTTGCATATGTATATATTCAATTTCCACAGGCACTTTAAAAATTAAATTTCATTTATCTCCTCAGTAAAATTAAGACGTATATCACTAATCAGATAATTATTTTTCTATTATCTTTGAAAATGTTAATTATTTTGTTGATGATTCATTTCAGTTTCTTATAATACTCTTAGATCATGGTTTTGCTTTTTTGGAAGTTATCTTGTGTGTAATTTAACCACTATCTTGATGAACATAACTTGAGTTGCACTTATAGTATTTGAATTTTGTGTTTCTTTGGTTGTTTTTGCTGACTTTGAAGTGTGTTTATATACCTCAGTTACTCTTCATTTAGTTCCAACATCCAAAACCATACTGTTCAACATTTTCTCACTTAGTGTAACCTGGAATTTTTATTTTGAATTTATTCTTTTTAAATATGTAAGTGTTCATTTTTTGATAGTTTTGGCTTGTGTTCATTGGGACATTTATATTAATTGACCAAGTTATAA